TTATCTATTGATTTGTGGTTAATATTGGTTCTCACAGTTACCACAAACAACTCAGTTCTCCCTTGAATAGGCCCATATATATATATATATATATATGTAAAAGTAAGGCATGCATTGAAGGGTATTTTAGTATTCATAACACATACAATAAAAATATTATTTTGAATAAATATTGCAATTTTCAACTTTAATACTTATGAAGAATAAAAAACCCTACTTTTTGAAAACAAGCAACTTTTGTTATCAACGTTGTTTAATTATCTTACTTCCATACAACGAAATTGGTTTTATTTGACGCCTTGAACATTTAATCGTTCTAATAGAATATATTATAGAACTTAAGTTTATAAGACCAAACTATAAAGTGTTATATCTAAAATTGTTCCAATAAGTTTAAATTATGTTTTTAGGCGTTTTAACAATTTTTTAGAACGTTTTCTTAAAATAAAGTGTCATGTTAGTTATTTTATAAACTCATCTTATTATATGATATTTTTTTCAAATAATGTCGTATAAAATAGCTAATAAGACATTTTTTTTAAAAAGGGTCCTAAATAACATGCCAAAAAAAAACGTTCTATTTACTTATTGTAACACTTTTAGATATGACGTTTTTTCGTTTGATCCTATTAACTTAAGTCCTATAAGGTATCTTATATTTTATTAGAAGGTTTAAACATTTTAAGAGTCCTACAAAAACCAAATTTTGTTATAAAGCTTACATATGAAAAAGAGGGTATATAGTATGTATGTGCTATTTTTTTTTTCGTTGCAAATTTTATTTCCGTTCGTATGCTTAACACCTCTAAGAAAACACTCCTTAGTCTTGGTATCATACCCTATGACTATTCTATTTCCAAAATATTTTGTCAATTAACCATGTTAAATTTTGAATTTATATGTTTGTTGAATTTTGCAATTCAAAAAACCATCAAAGTAAAATAAAGAATATAACAAAACACAAAAGGGTTCGAGTTATTGGTTTCCACATCGAGATGCCACACGTTGTAATGCGCGAGTCTATACCTAGTATATGAAGGATCAGAGAATACACTGCTTTCAAATACTAAAATGATAGTTGTTATTCCATGAGACAAACTTGGCTTTAAATAGCCTACAAACTAACGTTGCACCCATAACAGAAAGCATAGAAACAGGAGCAAAATGCTAACAAACACAGAAGCTTTCAAAGCAAGCTAATTCCTAAGTATTAGGTATGAGACCTATTATTTTGCAAACACGGAAAACTGACTAATACTATGCTGACAATTCCTCCCCTTAAACTGAAGTGCTTCAAGAAGCATCAGTTTAATCTTCCAGTGCTTGAACTCCAAGTAATCTTCTTAACTTGGTGAATTTGCTTCCAACTTCAAAGGCTTTGTCATTATATCAGCAATTTGATATTCAGTTCCACAGAACACTAACTTCACTACTTCTTGACTCACGAGCTCTCGCAAATAGTGATATCTTACGTCGATATGTTTAGTCCTTCTGTACATCATCGGATTTTTGGACAATTTAATGGTTGAACTGTTGTCACAGAAGACTTCAAGACTTTCACTTTGGTTTTTCGTAAGATCCTCGAGCAATCCTCGTATCCATACACAGTGGCACACACACGAGCTTGCAGCTACGTTTCGGCTTCTGTTGATGATAAAGTGACAATAGGCTGCTTTCTTGAGCTCCAGCATGTCGCTCCTTCGCTTAAAAGAAAGACATAGCCAGAGGTGCACCTTCTGTCTTCGATGTCTCTTGCATAATCGCTATCGGTGTATGCTTTGAATTTTGTAGAGGCATTCTTCCTGTACAGGAGACCATAACCATGTGTACCCTTCAAATACTTCAACACCCTCTTTGCTATCTTCATATGCTCTTCCCTTGGTTTAGCCATGAACCGAGATATTAAACAAACCACATACATAAGGTCGGGTCGTGTAACTGTGAGGTACATCAGACTACCCACTAATTGCTTGTACACCGTTGCATCGACTTCTTTTCCTTTTCCCTCTTTCGTGAGAATTGTGCCGGGAACAATGGGATTCTTAACTGGGTTGCTGGTCCACATTCCAAATCTTTCAAGCACTTCTCTTGCGTATTTTTTTTTGACATAAATGAATCCCTTTGTCATTTTGATGAACTTCCACACCAAGAAAAAACCTCAACATACCCATATCTGTCATTTCAAACTCTTGCTGCATTGATCTCTTAAATTCTTCACAGACATTAGCATTATTTCCAACATAAATTAAATCATCCATATAAAGGCTCACTATGATCAACATTTCACCGGTCCTTTTTATGAACAAAGTGTCATCATGACTACTTTTCTTGAATCCCTCCCGTTTGAAATAACCCTCAATTCGACTGAATCAAGCTCTCGGAGCTTGCTTCAGTCTATATAAAGCTTTATTTAAACGATAAACTTTATTTTCTTTACCTTTCTTGACGAACCCTTGCGGTTGATCCACATACACGACTTCTTTAAGTTCATCGTATAAGAAGGCACTTTTAACGTCTAGTTGATACACAACCCAGTTTTTTTGAGCAGCCACAACAAGTAGAGTTCGAATGGTATCCCATCGCGCTACCGGTTCAAACACTTCATCATAATCGACTCCTTTCCTTTCGGCATATCCTTTCACGACTAATATGGCCTTGTATTTGTCGACTTCCCCATTTTCATTTAGCTTGGTTTTGAAGACCCATTTCAATTCAATTGTCTTTGCATCTGTTGGTAAATCTATAAGCTCCCATGTTTTATTTCTTTTGATGGCTTGTAGTTCACTTTCCATTGCCTTTAACCACTTTTCTTCTTTAGCAGCCTCTTCGAAACTTATTGGGTCATCAAGAGAACTAAACATTGCAAATAAACTTGCCTCTTCATCTGATAAACCTTCCCCACTTTGATAATCACCCATCCAGATTGGTTCTCTTCTGATTCTTCTTGCTGCTTCTGTTGTGTTTTCGGGTTCTGCATGACCTGCTATTTCTTCTTCAGTTGAGGGTTCTTCATCAGGTCCTATCTCCTCTTCATGATCGTCATCAGTTGCTGTTTTTTCTTCATCCCAAACCAATTGTTCACTGCTGGCTTCGACTCCATCTGTGCTCCAGTCCCACTTTGAATCTTCTTCAAAAATAGCATCTCGACTGATGATTATCTTCCTCTGGACTGGATCATATAATCTGTATGCTTTTGATTCTGAACTCACCCCAAGGAGGACACACTTATGGCTTCTGGTATCAAGTTTAGTTCTTAGTTGTTGGGGGTACAAGCACGTGCCGAATACAACCAAACACCCAAAAGTAGTCAACACTCGGTTTTATTTCACTCCAGCATTCTTCTTGCACCATGTCATCTAAAGCACTTGTGAAACATCTATTTAATACATGGCATCCCCAATTAGCTGCTTCGGGCCAGAAATATTTTGGCATCCCCTTTTCTACGAGAAGGCATCGAACCATGTTCATTATGGTCCGATTTTTATGTTCGACCACTCCATTTTGCTGAGTGGTGTAGGCAGCAGTCAATTACCTCTTAATCCCATGTGTTACTCATAATTGATTGAACTGACCAGAAGTGAATTCTCCTCCCCTATCACTTCTTAAGCAGAGCATAAATTTCCCCGTTTCTTTTCCACCAGATTTTTGAAAATTTTAAACACTTCAAAAGCTTCATTCTTTTCAGAGAGAAAATATACCCAAATTTTGTGAGTAAAGTCATCAACGAGAACAAAGATGTACCTTTTGCCACTTGGAGAAGTTGGAGATATAGGTCCGCAGAGATCCATGTGAATAAGTTGAAGCTTCTCACCTGCTCTCCATGTACTTTTCATTGGTATGGCTTCTCGATGTTGTTTCCCATTATTGCATACTTCACATGAGAGAGGTTTCATAGTTGCAGACACCATGAACATCTGGTTAGCTGTTATTTTTGAAGTTGTAATCAACCTCCTTTGTGGATGGTAGATTTTGCATGTACCGGCTGCAATTATGAAAGTCACTCCCTTTTCTTGTAGTTGCCCAACATTTAACATATTGGTTGTCAACTCAGGTACAAAATAAACATCTGTGATGGTCTGAGTTGTACCTTCTACTTCAAATCTTATACTTCCTTTGCCTTTGACTGCCAGCCTCGAATTGTTCCCTAACTTGACAGTGTGACATAAACCTTCATCAAGTTGGACAAACCATTCTTTAGAGCCTGTCATATGGTTAGAGCAACCTGAGTCAATAAACCATATCCCTTGATTTGCATCGTTGATTTTTGCGTAGGCCATCAATAGCAGGTCCTCCCCTTCATCAAACTCAACATAGTTTGCTCCTCTTTCACCACCGGGACCCTCGTATTAAAAGTGTCCAAGTTTGTGACATCTGTAGCATTCAATAAGAGATTTATTGAAGTTCGATCTACCTCTTCCTCTCCCCCGTCCACGATTGCTTCCCCTTCCTCTTCCTCTACCACGACCGAAGCCAGTGTCGTGTTCAACTTTCAATACATGCTCATCACTTTCTCTGCGTCTTACCTTTTGTTTGTGGACTAGCAACGAACTTTGCAGCTCGTCGACCGTCAGTTGATCGATATCCTTCGATTCCTCAATAGAACACATGACAAAGTTAAAACTTTCTGTCAGTGTTCGAAGGATCTTTTTGACGATCTTCACATCGTCCATATCCTCTCCACAGTTTCTCATATCGTTCGCAACGATCATAACTCGTCCAAAATAATCGGTCAATGATTCTCCCACTTTCATCTCCAAGGTTTCGAATTCTCTTTGAAGCCGTTGCGACTGAGCCCTCTTCACTCTTGCACTTCCTTGGTACTTAACCTTCATCGAGTCCCATAGTTGTTTTGCGGTGTCCTTCTGGGTGATAGCCTTCAAGATAGTCTTGTCAAGGGCCTGAAAGAGATAGTTTCGTGCTTTCAGGTCTTTGAGTTTGGCTTCATCCAAGGCTTTTTGCTGATCTGCTGACAACTGCACTCCAGGTCCTGGTTCTGTATAACCCCCTTCAATCACACTACAATATTCTTTTGATCGAATCAAATTTTCCATGATCAAACTCCAATGATCATAGTCCCCATTGAACTTGGGTACACAGGGGATTCGGAAATTGTCAGTACCCATCTCTCACCCACTCGTGTATCACTTTTTGAACTTTCACGTATTTAGAAGTAAGAGTATTGGCTCTGATACCAATTGAAGGATCAGAGAATACACTGCTTTCAAATACTAAAATGATAGTTGTTATTCCAGGAAACAAACTTGGCTTTAAATAGCCTACAAACTAACGTTGCACCCATAACATAAAGCATAAAAATAAGAGAAAAATGCTAACAAACTAAGAAACTTTCAAAGCAAGCTAATTCCTACGTACTAGGTATGAGAACTATTATTTTGCAAACACAGAAAACTGACTAATACTATTCTGACAGTATACAATATCCTTGTTTTCCGTCAGATAGTGTGTTGATCCTCTCTCTCAGTGATTTGATGATAATCCCTTTTTTCCTTTCGATGTATTTTAGTTTCTGTATTTTCAGTTCCAGCGATCAATACACTGAGTATGTTCAGTGATCGCTGAAGAACTCGCTTTGTAAATCATTCAAAGACAACAATACTTTAAGAAAACAACACTCACACCAAAGATCCTTCAGCAAAAGTCGAATACTGAAACTGAAGATTAGAGACTGGCGCGTACGTGATCTGAAGTGGTATTCAGTGATTACAAGCCTGTCTAACTATGTGTGAAGACTGTTCTAGTTTCAGCGAATGATGATGAGACCTTCAGGTCATTCCAGCATTCAGCGATCAAAGGAAGCTTGCTTAGCACGATTGTTGTTGT